GATTTTATTCTAATGTAAAGAGCATGACATATGATGTATGCTAGATTAGAATTGTATATGCATAACTATGTTATATATTTTGCATTACACGTGATTGGTCATTAAGGCACGAGTTGGGGATTGATGGTGATTATAGTCATAGTCTCCTGGTAGTGTAGGTTGTTGTCGACCTAGCATTAGTTTTGAGGTATATGGAGAGATACCTTTTGTTTAGGCTCGCATGAGGTGAGTCATTTGGCGTTGCCGTAGTGCTGGATTTGTTTGTTTTGGGCCATCAAGAGGTTATGGACCTCTTAGGATCCGTGGTTGTTCGGGATGATTCCTCTAGGATTGTAATTTTTATGGGCGGGTACGTTTGTGGGTGGGTGCATGGCACTGTCATGCTACTGTACTGGCTAACTACAAGTGCAGTTCGGATGGAATCAATGAAGGTTTTTATCTTTATAGGCATAGTCCTTTTGATTGATGGTAATGATGGTTGTTTTGGAGATCAATCGTAGTGATTGATTTGGTTATTGTTGGTATGGCTATGGTTGCCATTTTCTTTGAGTTCTCCTTGCGTAATGACGCTTTTGGGATCAGGTTGATTGATTGATGTTTTGGGTAGAGAGAACGTTGCACTGTTAGTGTCACTTGTAGTGTCACCTCTAGATTTAGAGATGGATTGTTAAAGTCTTACCATTGTGGTAAGGGCTTACGTTTGTTTTGAGACAGGTGGTTATCGCATTGGTTTTTAGAGTCAGTTTATGGTTAGGATTGGTATTTCCTTTTTCCATAACACTCTAGGACACGATGTCTACAGGGTTCATTGTTGCATCATTTTTTATCTTCTGCTATTTCATTTACTACCATGTTTGTAGTACGATTTATGATACTATAATGTATAAGTCGGTAGAAGTGTGTCAACATTTGCTTTCTTGTTGTGTGGCATTAGCATGCCTAATTTATATGCTTAGAGATGCCATGTTGTTACTATACTTAGTGACATGATTTTGTGCTTATGTGGAGACGTGCTGCCTATATCCTTGATTTTTATCTATATAAGTAGATTTACTTACTTGGTAGTTGCATTTCCTTGTTGTTTGTATAACTTCCATGTTTAGTTTTGCCAATTTTGTTTCCCTTTTCGTATTTTTCGTGTTAACATTTATGGGAGGATAGGGTTTCTCCTCTTTTCTTGGTTCGAGTAAGGTACTTCACAAGGAGTGAGTCTCTTCTCTTCGTTGCGTTATGCACAGTTTTGGGGTTAGCTGGTCCGTGAAAATCACCATCATTGTTTTGAGTCCTTGGTGAAGATTTAGTTGATTTTGGTCGACTTACTTCCATGTAGGGGGTGAAGTCTTTGACCTTGTTGTCTTTCGTTTTAGAGACATAGTTGTGGTGTTGTCCTTCTTAGGAGTGGTGGTTCCCTTTCTTTCATGTCTTCCCTTGGGGGGTTTTGCCATGGTTGTTGACGGGTTGTGGTGTTCAGAGTGGGTGAATTGGTGCAAGATCATTCTACGAGGACTTGTGTCCATTTGATTTAGGATTTCGTTGACTCATTGTGTGAGTTTGATGCTATTTAGGGATGTCTTTTGGAGACTTGCTTTGGTGTTGGAGACCGGATGTGGTTGACTCTTAGGAGAAGTTTTGGAGGATCGATGTTGGATATGGCTTGTTTGTGGAGTTTTCTCATCCTAGTTATGACTAGGCATAGTTTTGAGGAATCGTAGTTCTAGTGGTTGTTTATGGATCAATGGAAATTGAGGAATTTTGATTTAGCTTGGTGTTGCCAAGCATGGTTTTGAGAGACTCGTTTTGTGACTTTGTTTGTCGATATTTTCATATGTGTGCCACGTGGTGGACTTGTATTTAAAGGATTTAGTTATCCATGATAGGGATGTGGATCTCATATTTGATTACGGTGTAGTCTTGTAGTTCATTTGTTTTATGGAAATATGTAGGCCTTTCAACGAAATGTCTTGTAGGGAGGTTCCTTTTGATTTCTGGAGGTTTTGATTTGCTTTTCAGGCTTTGGATTCTTGATTGATTTAGTTAATAGGAGTATTTTGAGATGTTAGAGTTGTTGGTTTTGCTGTATTGAGGATTTGGGGCATAAAGCATAATGGTTCCTATGACGTTGTTGTAAAAGTTTGGGATTGGCTGGGATGGTCTAGAACGTCTTTAGACCATATTCCAACTCTCACAGATGCCTAGTTCCCATATTACTTTTGGCCGTGATCGTTTTACGACATTGATGTCATTTGTATCGAGAGGTTTCATGGGTAGACCTAGTGGGGGGCTGGTTATGAATTAGTGCCTTATACTGTCATGCTACCGTATAACATTGTATGTTGTGGGGGAGTACTAGTTGCTGTCGATGCTACTTTATTGACGAGTAAGTGCAGGTGGGCACTAGGTACTGTTATTGCTACCATACATTTGAGTACGTCGTGGACGAGTTCTGGTTGTTATTTGTACTGCCACATCGTTTTTATTCGGTACCATGATTTGATATTTGGTTATTTTGGAGTTCTTTTGGTGGTTGCTTTTGGATCCATATGATGGTTCGTCAGGAGGAATGCTTACAGTTGTTGTCTTCTGTTCCCTTGTCTGACCTTAGGTTTTGTGTGTGAGTTCTGACTTGTTTTGTGGCCATGTGGTCACTTTTCTTTTGGGAGGTTGTCCTGTCATGAGCACGTGGGTGCAAGCGACAGTAGCTTCTACGTTGTCCTTCAGTTTTGGGATTGCTTTTGTAGCATGTTGTGTGGGATACTCGTAGATGCACTCCGCAATTACCCTGGTTTCGCCTTTTGTTTTGTTGGGGCTGAATTTTGGGGACAAAATCCCTTTAAGGTGGGAAGGTTATAATGACATGGTCATTTTCCTTCCTTTCGTTTTTCTCAGATTTTTATGGATATATATATATATATATATATATATATATATATATATATATATATATATATTTGTTGATCTTTTCTTTTCTAAGTTAGGTTCTCGTCGCTTAGTGTCATCTCGAGTGCTCAGGAATGGTTTTTGAAACTCTTTCCTTCGGATTGACAACTTCCTTAAAGGACTACATCATTTTCATATTTTTTACTTTTTGGACATTATTCACTTTTCGTCTTTTTTCCCTTTTTATCCTTTTCCCGTTTATCACTTTCCTCACTTTTTGTGTTCGGAGTTGGTTTTTGACTTCACGTACATTCATTCTAAGTGGTTTCCATGAAATACGTATCTTTACTTTTGTGGAAAGGTACGTTAGTTGCTCACGGTGTCCATAGGGGCATGGATGCATTGTTCCTCAGAAACATTTTCTTTTCTTGGGGTATTTTTCATAAATATCTTTTGAAGATATTTTATTTCAACGGTTTTAAAGAAAATATTTTTGGAAGATATTTTCATTCTGGTTCATTAGTGTAGTTAACCCTTTTCAGAAGGGCCACTGTGCAATTAATGAAAGTTATTACAAAAATGCCTCGTTTTGAGCCTGGATCCTCGTACGTGGTTCATTTTTACTTTTCATCGAGTCGTGTACTTTTCATTGGCCGGGATGGTCTAAAACGTCTTTAGACCATATTCCTACTCTCACAGATGCCTAGTTCCCACATTGCCTTTGGCCATGATCATTTTATGACATTGATGTCATTTATACCGAGAGGTTTCATGGGTAGACCTAGTGGGGGGCAGGTTATGAATTAGTGCCTTATACTGTCATGCTACCGTACAACATTGTGTGTTGTAGGCAAGTGCTAGTTGCTGTAAATGATACCTTACTGACGAGTAAGTGTAGGTGGGCACTAGGTACTGTCATTGCCACCACACATTTGAGTACATCGTGGACGGGTTCTGGTCGCTATTCATACTGCCACATCGTCTTTGTTCGGTACCTTGATTTAATACGTGGTTATTTTGGAGTTCTTTTAGTGGTTATTTTTGGATCCGTATGATGGTTCGTTAGGAGGAATGCTTATGGTTGTTGTCTTCCGTTCCCTTGTTCGACCTTGGGTTCTGTGTGTAAATTTTAACTTGTTGTGTGGCCATGAGGTCACTTTTCTTTTGAGAGGTTGTCCTACTGTGAGCACGTGGGTGCGAGTGACAGTGGCTTCTACGTTGTCCTTTAGTTTTGGGATTGCTTTTGTAGCATGTTGTATGGGATATTCAGAGATGCACTCCGTAGCTACCCTGATTTCGCCTTTTGTTTTGTTGGGGCTGGATTTCAGGAATGAAATCACTTTAAGGTAGGAAGGTTGTAATGACCCGGTCATTTTCCTTCCTTTCTTTTTTCTCAGATTTTTATGGATATATATATATACATATTTTTTTTGGTTGATATTTATTTATTTATTTATTTATTTTTCTGATTTAGGTTCTATAATAACTTGGATTTTTTTTAAGGTTTTAAATTATATTATATTTGATGATTTTTAGTTGTCAAAATTGAATTTAAATTTTATATTGGAGATTTACCCACTTAAATTATTTAATAGGTTGATTGGATTTTGGTGTTGCATGGTGTGTATATATATATAGGGCTGCCGAAATTGAAGGTGGAAAGAAAGAAATTGTAATGGCTTTAAGTGTGGATCCCACTTGGATTATGTTTAAAGAAATTTGATTTAGTTTCTTGCATTTATATATATATATATATATATATGATGCAATGTCAGATGATGGAAGGGAGCCAGCCGAAATGAGGGGAGAGGAAGCAAAATTGAAATGGTAATTTGTGCGGTCCACCACTAGGAGATATTATTTAGGCTTAATTTGTTAAACAAGTAGTGGAGGGATTTGTATATATATTGTATATCATCTATAAGCTTCAGATGGAAGCTTTTGGCCGAGAGAAGAGAAATAGAATAAAGAAAGTTGGTCGCGGGCCCCACTACAATGACTTTTTGGCTAACTTTTCTTTTGGCTGTGTTTTGTGCACGTGGGCTATTATTTTTCTTGTGAGGTATCAGATGAATGATGATACTGATAAGGTAACTAAGGCGAAGATAAGGAATGGTGGGCTATGAAGAAATATTTTACAATTGATTTGGTAAATTTGTATTGTGTCGTGCCTTTTTCCTTTATATAATTGTGACTTTGGTGAGTATTTTGAAAGAGAGAAAAATAAAGGAAACAAACACACAGATAGAGTGTTTGAGGAGATGCTGATAGAAGGCAGAGAGGGCCGAGAATTGGTGAATTGATAATCATGTGATTAATTCTTTTACAGGGTAGGGATTTTTATACCTTGAATCGTTTGGGGTGATTTTTATCTCAAACATTTTGTTAATGCTAGCTTGTTAAAATCGCATATATGTATTTTGTTTAAAAGCATATATATATTTTGTGAGACTAATTTTCATGAAACCTCTTCAAAATTCTTGTTATGGTTTTCCTGCTTGGACTTCCCCCGTCTCACCGCCTTCCAGTTTCAGGTACCGTGGAATTCTAGTTGCGGCTTAGGTGGAAGAGTTGGTGTTAAGGATTTAATATTTATAGAGAAAATTTTCTTGTATTTTATTTGAGGATGTTGATTTTGTATCAATAAAATGATTTTTTTTTTGAGATCCTAGGTGTATACTGATTTATTTTGATTTGAATAAATCGAGGATTTTATTTAGAAAAGTTCAGGGCGTTACAGAATGGTATCAGAGCCTGTACGCAGCCGGAAGTGTGAGTTTGGTAATGATGTTGACTGGTGTGAGTGGGCGAGTGTTTAGTTTTGATTTGCTACCGCTCGTAGCCTGATGTGTGTGGGCGGGTGTCATTCACTGACAGCTACTGTGGTAGTCAATAATTGTGATTTGGCATGTTGTATTGCCTGGTTTATTATTGGCTTTGTTTTTGTGGGCGGGTGACGGCATTGATTAGTTATCACAATGGTTATGGAGTGTGTGGGTGGGTAATTAGCACTATCTGCTACCACAACGTTTTTCATGTCACGGTATCTCGCATCACCTAGGGTAAGGATTTTGAGATTTTGTTTTACCACTTTTGATGTTTTCAGGTATGCGAAAATTTTTAGATTTGAATTTTGGGACGAAATTCTTTTTAAGTGTTGGAGAATGTGACAACTCAGATTTTTTTAAGATTTTAAATTATATTTATCTCTTGATTTTTGATTGACAAGATTAATTATTTTGTTTTAATTGGAGATTTACCAATTGAAGGTTGGGTTATTGATTTTTTTTTTTTTATTGGAGACTTACCCATTAGATTTTTGGATATAATATTGCAGTTTATAAGAATTGAAATTTAATCCTTGTAGCATTTGTATACATATAATTATATTTATACAAGGCATCAGGTGGAGAGCATTTAGGGCTACCGAAATTGAAGGTGGAAAGAAAGAAATGGTAATGGCTTTAAGTGTGGATCCCACTTGGATTATGTTTAAAGAAATTTGATTTAGTTTCTTGCATTGATATATATATATATATATATATATATATATATATATATATATATGATGTAATGTCAAATGATGGAAGGTAGCTAGCCGAAATGAGGGGAGAGGAAGCAAAATTGAAATGGTAATTTCTGCGGTCCACCACTACGAGATATTATTTGGGCTTAATTTGTTAAACAAGTAATGGAGGGATTTGTATATATATTGTATATCATCTATAAGCTTCAGATGGAAGCTTCTGGCCGAGAGAAGAGAAATGGAATAGAGAAAGTTGGTCGCGGGCCCCACTACAATGACTTTTTGGCCAACTTTTCTTTTGGCTGTGTTTTGTACACGTGGGCTATTATTTTTCTTGTGAGGTATCAGATGAATGATGATACTAATAAGGTAAGTAAGGTGAAGATAAGGAATGGTGGGCCATTAGGAGATATTTTACAATTGATTTGGTAAATTTGTATTGTGTCGTGCCTTTTTCCTTCATATAATTGTGACTTTAGTGAGTATTTTGAAAGAGAGAAAAATAAAGGAAACAAGCACATAGACAGAGAGTTTGAGGAGATGCCGAGAGAAGGCAGAGAGGGCCGAGAATTGGTGAATTGATAATCATGTGATTAATTCTTTGACAGGGTAGGGATTTTTATACCTTGAATCGTTTGGGGTGATTTTTATCTAAAATATTTTGTTAATACTATCTTGTTAAAATTGCATATTTGTATTTTGTTTCAAAGCATATATATATATTTTGTGAGGCTGATTTTCATGAAACCCCTTCAAAATTCTTGTTATAGTTTTCCTACTAGGACTTCCCCCGTCTCACCCCCTTCCAATTTTAGGTACCGTGGATTACTAGTTGCGGCTTAGGTGGAAGAGTTAGTGTTGAGGATTTAACATTTATAGAGAGAATTTTGTTGTATTTTATTTGAGGATGTTGATTTTATATCAATAAAATGATATTTCTTTTGAGATCCTGGGTGTATATTGATGTATTTTGATTTGAATAAATTGAAGATTTTATTTAGAAAAATTTAGGGCGTTACAGGTTCTTGTCGCTTAGTGTCATCTTGAGTGCTAGGAAATGGTTTCTGAGACAATTTCCTTTGGATTGACAACTTCCTTAAAGTACTGCGTCATTTTTATATTTACACTTTTTGGACACTATTCACTTTTCGTCCTTTTTTCCTATTCTATCTTTTCTCCGTTTGTGACTTTGTTGGCACAACCTCACTTTTTGTGTTTGAAGTTGATTTTTTTACTTCACATACCTTCATTCTAAGTGGTTTCCACGAAATACGTATCTTTACTTTTATGGAAAAGTATTCTGGTTGCTCATGGTGTCCATAGGGGCACGGATACATTGTTCCTCAGAAACATTTTCTTTTCTTGGGGTGTTTTTTGTAAATATATTTTAAAGATATTTTATTTGAAGGGCTTTTAAGAAAATATTTTGGAAGATATTTTCATTCTGGGTCATTAGTGCAGTTAACCCTTTTTGCAGGGGTCAATGTACAATTAATGAAAGTTATTGCAAAAATGCCTTGTTTTGTGCCTGGATCCTCGTATAGGGTTCATTTTTACTTTTCGTTGAGTTGTGTACTCTTACAATTTCCTTCTAATCATTTTCCCCCAGTTTCAGGGTTTTTGACACTAGTTGCCGCTGAACTTGTTTGGGGCATATCTTTCTGCTCGAGATTCAATTTTTAACGTTGTTTTTTTTGTTGTTCATCTTTTCTCATTTTGGATTTTTTTCGTTCTCGGAGTTTCACCGTTTGAGCGCGTCTGCTAAAATTTCACTTTTCCGGACCCGGCGGGGCAATTTCGGGCCACTTTTAGGGTTTTGCTATAAATAGAATGTGTTAAAGTGAAAAATCACTGTTTCATCATCTTCCTTCCTCCCTTGGCCGGTCTTCCATGGCAACCTTGGGCTTCCACCCTTCTCTCTTCTTTTCTGACCTCTTCCCTCTTGAAAAATGTAGTAGAGCTTTAGCGTTTATCGAAGACCATGACGACGCACATTTTTCCCCCTCATTAGAATCCGTTTTTGGTCTTTTCTCAAGTCCTGGCTTGAAGCCAAGTTTGGATTTTCATGGTACCTCCTTGATGTTTAATGTTCACCTCGTTGTCCCCGACATAACCTAAGAGTATCGTTGGATTCAGAGCACTTTTCTTTCGGTGGAGATTTAAGATTTCATCTCAAATGGAGGTAGGGGGTGTTATAGGTTTATATTTTTGTTATCTTGCATGCTATTGATGCTTATACAACTTGTATGTATGCTTTTGTTCTTAATCTAGAATTTAATTTAATTATTTTCTTTGTGTAAGATATAATTCACCTGGCTGTATATGAGATGAAATTAAATTGTGGCATGCTAGTAAATTAGGCCTTCGTATGTTTATTAACATATATTAAATTGGGATTATTTGAATAAGAGTTGCAACATTTATTTAATATTTTTCTTTTATGAAAGTTTAATTAATATGGTTGTAACTTCCATGAAATCAACTTGTAATGTGATATTAGAATAGTCGTTGGTATGTTGTTTAACTTATGTTAAATTGAGACCATTTGAAATATATTGTCTTCAAATCTAGAGAAAATTAATTAATTAGTTGAATTAATTTTATTATAAGTGTTTCATTCACTTAATTGGATTTTCAACTTGATGTTGTTGATGGTTGTGTTATGTTCTTTAACATACATTAATTTGAGACTATTTAGAATTGATTTCAAAGCTATTGAATTTAGTTATTTTATTTAATTAAATTCTATCTCGTTGTTCTATGGATTTAATTATGTTTTGGAAGTTGTTTCTATGTATAAATCATGGATTTAGACTTGTTGTGTATTCACTTGGTGGTGCTTTAAGAATTGAACAACATTGTTGTTAAATTTACATTCATGGGAACATGATTCTAATACTGAATATATTATCAACTTGTGAGTTATGGATGTTATTAGCCTTGTAAACTTGTTGCAATGTCGTAGAATTAGTGTTTAAAGTTTACCATGGAGGTATGATTTAAATTGTTAAGTAGATGATATTGTGTTGTACATTGTATCATAATAAAGACTAGACATTATATATATGCCATTTTAGAATTAAAACTCTAAGGCATGGATTGTATGGTTTTTAGCCTACTTGTGCATGGAATGTGGTTTCGTGCATCATTTAATTATGTATAAGTTCTGAACTTACTTGTTGATTTTGGAGTCACTTTGGACATTGTTATGAATTGATGGTTAGGGTTTGGCTCTAGTATTGGAACAAGAGTCTTCTAACTCAATTGTACGCGCGTTGATAGGCTGCCCAGGGGTTAGTATCCCAAAAGTAGCCCCGTGTCGATCTGATTCGATTGATATCCAATTATATCCGTCTTTACTGATTTCGCACTTTTAGATTTTAAGTTAATAACTTTGAGAATCTATGTCTTGATGCGTTGTATTAGAATCTTTAATTAAACTAAATTGTTATATTTAGTTGTTTTCACACTTTAGATTTCAAGTTGATAACTTTGAGAATCTATGTCTTGATGCGTTGTATTAGAAATTCTAATTATACTAAATTGTTATATTAAGTTGTTTTTGCAGTTTAGATTTCAAGTTGATAACTTTGAGAATCTATATCTTGTTGCTTTGTATAGCATGCTCTAATGTTGTTTGAACTTGCTTGAATAATGTGGTTTATGCTAGAAATGTTCTAAGGTAGTTTAAGATGCTCCCTGAGTCTCATCTTTGACATAGACGCTAGGTCGAATGAATCACAATGATTAAATTATACAAACTTGTAAAAAGTTAGGTCCTTGTATGCTCATCTCCTACGAGTAGCTTTATGTTACTCACTCCAAAGTTATCGGGTTATTTTTCAGGTGCTGGATTCAAGACTTGGAGATTTCATTTGTCTTGGGTGAATTGTGACTTTTTATGTCAAAACTTGTATAATTGTTTTTAAATATGTAATGTGTACATAAGTATAATTTTTATGACATATTTGATGTGTATGATTCATGGCCAATGGTCAATTATTCTTAGTTTAGATCTAAGTTCCAGTGGCATTATGTTTTTGCCTTATAATGTAATTTCGTGAACTTGGGAGTTTGATATGTGAAATTTCATAAATGAATTGTAAAAAGGTCGTAAGCCATTGTAGCGCGTTTAAAA